AAGAAAGAAAGAAAGAAAGAAAGAAAGAAAGAAAGAAAAGAAAAGAATAGAAAAGAAAAGAAGCGAAAAGAAAAGAAAAGAAAAGAAAAGAAAAGATAGAAAGAACGAGAGCAGGGCGCGCGCGCTCGTGTGCTATGGACGGCTTACTGGGCTCTTATCCTCCTCTTGTCCTCTGTGCTGGGCTCTGTGGCTGGGTGTCCTTGTCTCGGCCGCGCCCCTGAACTCTGTGGCCCGGCTCTGTGTCCGGGTCTTGATCTCCTCTTGTCCTTGTCTTGGCCGTGCCCCTGAACTCTGTGGCTGGTCTCTGTGGCCCGGCTTACTGGAGAGGAGTGTGGCCGAACAAATAGCGATGTCAATGCCGAGAAAAATTCATTGATGAAGCAGTTTGCTCTGGGGGTGAAAGTAGGGCGTACCAAGAAATAATCGATTTTTGATTAATATTGGTCTAAACGAATCGTTTTGAAGCTGTTTGGGGTCTATGCTTGTATAATTTGGTTAGTACAATTACTACTTTTGGTGACTTAGGTACCTGCCGAAGTCGCATCGGGCTCAGGTGATGCGGGGGGAGGTGATGATGTTGGGAAGAGAGAAGAAGAAGCCAGCCGAAGGCTGACCGGCGGTCGAGCCGCGGCAAGCCCCATGCAGCTAGCTGCGAAAGGCAGCCGATGGCCTGTTGGCCTGGCCTTGGCCAAAACCTCGGCCTCGCCACAGCGAAACCTACAAAAGCAGCCTATACGGCCTGTTGGCCGTCATAGAAAGAGTAGTCCAGGACGGCCCGCCCATAAAAGCGCGCCAAAACCTCGGCCTCACCACTGCGAAGCCAACCGCTGACGCTGCCTACTTTGGAGCCGACAGAAAGAAGAGTCCAGGACAAGCCCCAGGTAGGTGCAAAAAGCAGCCGACGGCGGTTGGCGTAGCCCCATAGAAAGACGGGGGGGAGTCCACGACAAGCTCCAGGTAGCTGTAGCCTGAGGAGCCTGTTGGCATGGTACCATGCTGCCGCCGCAGTGAAAGGCTACCCTGGCCCTTGACCGCTGCCACTCTCCAACATCGCCTTCTGAACGGAGTCCAGCGCAAGCCCCAGTCAGCTGCGAAAGGCAGCCGACGGCCTTGCAGAGGACATGATTGGCCTGCAATGAAGATTTACTTCAAATTGAAAATAATCATGCAAGATGGAGCAAGTCATCGCCAAACATGGGGAACCAAAGGAGAAGCTGCGCTGAAGCACTGTGTTTTGTGCAACATCAGAACACCGCCTGCTGCTTTGAGGCAAGATGATGATGAGGCTGCAGTGTTACACTTCTTGAAATACCCTGACATGAGAAAATACACCAGCCAGGAAATCCTCTCCAGCTATGATCGCTTGGCTGCCAAGAAGGAAGAGTTGACCAAAGCAGAATTTGCCAAACGGGAAAAGGCAGTGAGGCTGCTTTAGTCTCCAAAGTTGATGTGCTTGGATGCACAATTGAGGGCTGCCTGCATTCTCCATCCAGGCGAGCAATTTGTTCATGACTGGATGCACACTTGTGCGTGTTTCCAATGGCATCTTTCAGAAGGTGGTTTACAAGTTGTTTTGCATACTGAGGAGCAAAAGCTGGTCTTTATTCCAACAATACTTGGAATACTGGACTGTGCCAAATCTGTACAATATGTGCCATTTGGCATCTTTGATGTCTAGCAAAAGGTTGCTACGCACCAAAAGAATGGAAAGTTTTCTTGCCAAGCAAGTGAAGCTTTGTGCGTGCTTCCAATTTTGAGGCGTTGGCTGCTTTGAAGTTGGCTGCAGGAGAACACAAGCTGTCATGTGAAGCTTTCTTGGCAGTTGCTGAGCTCATACAGCTCTTGTCTGATGGTGCAGCAGGCTGGCAGGATGCTATGACTCCAAAGTGCCATTGGCCTTTGCGTATAGCTGACTGCTTTGGAGCGCTGGGATTTGTGCCTGCTTGCTTCACAGTGGAAAGGAAGCGCAACTTGGTCAAGAAGTATTCCACCTGCATACAGAACGCTACAAGCTTTGAGCTGTCTTGCGTGAAGGAAATCTTGGCTGAGGACGCGCGCAAGCTGTCTGAGCCTCATGTGTTCTTGCAAGGGCTTGCTTTGACTGCGCCTGCTTCTCCTGCAAATTAAGGATTTTTTGGCAGGCTGCTTCTCATGTCTGGAATCAGAGGCGCAAGCATCATTGACAGCAAAGCTTGCCTGCAGTGGACATTGCCACATATATACATTGTGTTGCTGAAGAGCCCACTGACTGCACCTTGGGCTGGTGAGATTTGGGTATTCATTGAAATACCAAAATTTCTTGGCTGCTTGGTGTCTTGCGTAGATTTGGTTGAATACATGCCTGCAACAAACTCAGCTTCCTGGGTGCCTGAAACAGAAGAGCCTTGGTTGAGCTGGACCAAGTTGTTGCCCCAATGTACCACGCCTGCTTGCTTGCCAAACGGCGTGAAAACCCTGCTTCCATGGCATTGGAATAAAATGTGTTGCGTTTGTGGGCGGCAAGCCATAGAAGGCCCCAATGGCCATAGAATGTTCAAGTGGGTGGCAAGCCATAGAAGGTCCCAATGGCCATAGAAGGCTCAAGTGGGTGGCAAGCCATAGAAGGCCCCAATGAGCACAGAACGCTCCGGAGCAATTTCATGCTATTTTGTTTGTGCGTTGAGCGATTTTTGATTTTGTTTTAAAACGCATATATATATATATACATATGTATACAACTTTTTGGTAAATAGAAGTTTGTTTGAAAGATAGAACTTTTGCTATAGTCTGAAAGTTGTATTTTGTGGCAAACGAATTTTGTTTGAAGGTCAAAAAAGTGACAGCGACTATGATGCCTAGTTGACTACTTAGCTAAGTACTTAGCTAACTCATGTTAACTTCAAGTTAACTACTTAGCTAACCACTTAGCTAACTCTGCTAACTGTTAAGTTGTTAGCATCTCCCAGAACATCTAAGTAGCTGCAAAAAGCAGGCTACGGCCTGTCGGCGTGGTCCTGAGGCCCATTGAGCCACGCGAAACCTTCGGCCTCCCCACAGTGAAACACCCTGGCCCTGAAGGTTTCAAGCAACCAGGGAGCGACCTCTAACGTTGCCTTTGGAACCTGCAGTCTGGGATGGCCCCATGGACCGCGTTAAACCTCGGCCCAGACCGAAACTCCCTGGCCCTGGAGGTTTCAAGGGCAGACGGGCCCATGGACGAAAGAGGGCGGCCATGAACAGAATCTACGGCCTGTTGGGCACAGCGTCAGAGCCCCTAGCAAAATACGTGCTGAGTGAGAGCTTCCGCCCAGGCGTCGGGTCGGCGGATATTCAAACATGAAAACCTGAAGTACCCAAAAGAGTGAACAAAGAAGTAAATTCCATCGTTATAGATGGCCACAAACTTAGTTAAAATTATAGTTATAACAAGAACATTGGAACCTCAATCGTGTATAAAGATACCAGCATCAGTAAAGAAAACAAATGTATATAGCTGCGTTAAGCACTGTAGGGCACACCAAAAAGCAAGAAGCGAGATTGCGCAGCATTAAGACATCGATCTTGTTTTGCCATACCTTGTCTTAGAGTTGACGCAAAGTACTCTCCATACTTGGAAAGGCAAGCTGACACGGAAAGTCAGGCAATTAAACTGACTTAGAGAACAATGCAAAGAGACAAGTACGCCATGTTATGTGTACCTTCTGGATTGAAGATTGAAGATGGAAGATTCCACCCAAAGTCTTGGCAGAATCTTCAATGTTGAATCTTCAATCCAGAAGGCCAGAAGGTACGCGTACCATGGCGTACTTTTCTCCATCCTCAATCCACACTAAGTACTGGAGTCTTAAATCTATTTCTTTCTATACCCTTTATATATGTATATATGCATAGACACATAATATGGTACCCCATATGGAACGTGTTCGAAACAACCATTTGGACAATGGTTTTAAAATATAACTTTAAGACATTATCACCAAATATCCCTAAAACATTGTAATTTACAGTAGAAAACACGCATTGGGTGGGTGTTGGAAGCGGGGCAATATAGATATAGTGAGTGAGGTGGTTGATAAACCATTCAGGTTTTTGTGAGCCCCAAACCAGACACTTCAATGAACCATACTGAGCCTCTTTGTATTTCCTGCCAGAAGACGGGGCGGCCATTGGCAAATGGCATTGTCACCCGCATGATGGACTTTCACGGCAGGAAGGCAAGCAATGTGTACATTCCTGGTGAGAAACTGCCATGGAGTGCAGGCTGTACTGTTGTACGTTGTTTCATCAAAACCTTTTAAGCATATCTTAAATTCTTTACATGATAGAATCATCAGTGTGATCGGTTTCTATCTATTGACCAGAAATGCTGCGTGCAGAGGAAAGGCGGCTCCAAAGAAATCCATATGCGCAAGTCCGTGGTTCAACGTTTGAAAACTCTTGCTGTAGGTTGGCCTCATTGGTTTGGCTGCAAGCTCAGCTTGGTGTGATGCAAAGAAGTGAACCTTTTGCGTGGCACCTCTTGTAGGTGGGTGGTGTTCTTCTTTGACCCAATGTTTGAGAAGACCAGACATTCAGGTTGAAAAGGAGTGGTTGGTGACGCTGGCGACGATCAACCCAAGTGAGGTGGAATATGAGGCGAGATCACCTTGGTGGATCGGCGTTTTTCCCCTTGAAGTCTCAACCATCTCAAGTCCTCGAACCATATTGGATTAGACAACCACACTTGGACCTGAGCTGCTACTCTTCGGTTTGAACGAGTTCAAAAAAGAAGTTTCGATGGATGTGTCCTTACTTTGTGTTTTTCAGCCCGCGAAAACAATTTCTGGGGAGGAATATCTTGCCAAAATCGTCTAAAACATTGTCAAGTTGAGCCGCTCCAACAAAACATCATAAAATATCCACACATATTCGCGCTGTGTGACGTCGATGCCTTTCCTATCATCACTGATTTATATACTGTAGATTCATTCAAGTTGTGAGGATGAGGTGCAAAGTGTTGAACCAATCGAAAACGCTATCAACCGAAACCAAACAGCAAAAG